ATTAGACGCGTATTTCGGAAGGAAATCGTGTTTACTTGACACGCATTTCATTCCAAAAACTTTTTTCGCGCACTGTACAATTTATGCAAACTTGTACCACAAAAATTCGAGCAATGACTCGATATAAGTTTGCTAGATGTTCAAAATATTGGTTGATCGATCTATTTCTCAGAATTCGTCATGACATAAGTTCCAATTTACCCCACCTTCATCATATAAGAGAACTCTTATTCATGAGATGTTTGGTTGCGCCTCAAAAACCACGTTATCTCTATTTATTACATAATGACGAACTATATTTTATAAATAAAGTAATATATGACGTCGATTGTTGATGTGATAAGGGAAGAGTGAGGGGCCAGCTATTTCATAACATTACGGCCCTTATTCACGATAGTTTACGGTATGTATATCATGTTACTGTAGTATTAAGCCTCGCCATTATTGATAAAATACTGAGTTTTTCTACCTATGCTTTGACTCGGTTTACTACAAGTGAGTCTCGATACTAGAGCGTTGTATAGAGTTTAACGGAGAGTACTTTGAAGGAATAAAGTAGTTGTATTGATAATTATTACAACAGTTCTGGAAATAAACGTCCACGCGCAAAACTTTTCAGCCCCCCACGTAGATAAATAAATAAATAAAATACGCTAAACTTATATTCTTAAGCCTTATTGATAAACTTGAAACAATTGAAGGAAACGGATCTTGATTCCTAGCGTCTAAATTCTTTCAAGTGGTGCCTTCAATACTATAATTAAAATTAAATTTAACAAAACAGGTGAATTAATATGAATAATCAGCGATAGTTAATACATACGTTTCGTCCATGGTATCAATAGGTATTACAACCCCATCGTTTAAATCATTTCTATTATCAACATTCTGTACCGGTACGTTTACAGTCAAACTTTGTCCAATGTTGGGATTATTTTCATTTGATGTAGCCGTTATTGTCTCTCTATTTCTTCTGAAAATTTTGTAAATACTGATAAGGGCCTGGCACATAGTAAAGATTCCGACTACCAGATTAAAGATGAGTAATGCTATGCCATCCGACATTGATAAATTCGCTTGAGCAACTGTTTCCCCCGAAAATTTTCCGAGTAGAGTGATAATTTGGTGACCCGGACGACAACAGAAGAGCGAGGTGTTTTTCAAGACGAAGTAGTGTCGTCTCGTTTCTCGTTATATTAAAAGTATTGTGTTACCCAGTAATTCTACTATGGAATTCCAAAGGTAAATCTCTCTTCCGTATATGGAACATCATTATTATTCACTTCCCCCCAGCGCTCATTGTCGTCATAACGGTAGTACAGAATTATACATAGCCTCATAGTAATAGTAAAACATGAAAAAAGTTTGTCCACTTTTCGAACAAGACACACAATCCACATCTAAATGGGCTCGGTAAAATATTGGTTCCGAAGAGTACAGGCCAAAGCAAATAAGGATCATTCAAATTATAAAATCATGAGCATGGAAGATTTTCTAATTGCAAACTAAATCAAATAACATTTTAAACCCATTGTCACGTATCTATTTGCATGAGCCGATAATACACCATGAAGTGTTCATCGGCCACGGACGCCAATTAACGACGTCTACGCACTGAAACAAAGAAACAATAATGTAGTAAGGGATTGAAACAAAAACCCAAGCCGGATATAATTGATTATACGATGTTTGATAACCAAAAGTATGTTTACTTTCTTGTAGGTTGGGGACAAATGCAGGCGGAGTTTCACAATTGGATGGATTTTGGGTCTCTTTTCATAGCAAAAATATAATCATTTAATGATTTGTTTGGAGACAATCTTCGTAATAGCCAAAGTTCATTATAACCAGATTGTAATTTGAAATAATTATAATCTTCGTTATAAACGATTTTTGGTTATAAGGAAGATTTTGTTAGTCTAGATACAAAGGGGTGTATTTCTTATCGTATCACGTGGGAAATACACATGACCCCTTTTCACCGTTATGAGGGTCTCTGATTTTTGGGCTACGATTGTTCATTTTCCTCCTATTCAACAACTTCAAATCGTCCGTGTTCATCATGGAGAACTGCATGACTATTTTTCACTTCATTTTTCAACTGAGAAATCCGCCAGTCAACCATATTAATATAAACAAAGTGAAGATTCTGTATAAAAAAAGAAATTTGTATGACGAACATAATTGCTGATATCTCGCAACATAAATCAGTTTAGAGCCTTTACGCAAATTCTTTCGGCTGATTTTCTTCATTCTCGCTAAAAAAGGGGGGATTTCCATCCCTATTAATTTAATGCGACGCCATAAAATCGGGGCCAGAACACAGAGACCAGAAGTCTAAAAACGAATAAGACTGGACGTAAAAAAGATTCACGAGAGCAACATAACGCCAATAGACGGCAGTAGTAGTCGAAGACCTAACGTGTTGTGAGTAACAATGATATTTATTGCCTACAACATGCAGAAGTATTTTCCGTGAGTATGGACTGTACTAGAATCGACGTTGCGGACAGGAGCGTCCTATCTCTACTTTGTGCGTTTGAGAACTTGGAAGATGTTGTAAAGGCGGGGGATGGGATTGTTGGGATGGGAGTGGCTCAGAATACGCTCTTCAAGATAGATTCTTGAGATGTTGTAAAGGCGGGGGGATGGCATTGTTGGGATGGGAGTGGCTCAGAATACGCTCTTCGAGATAGATTCTTGAGATGTTGTAAAGGCGGGGGAATGGGATTGTTGGGATGGGAGTGGCTCAGAATACGCTCTTCAAGATAGATTCTTGTGCGGTATCCCAAGGCGGATATGTAGTTACTCCACTAGCAGAGGCTGACAGAGGCACATTACGAATATGGTTGTCGACCGAAATGAAGTAAGGCATGGGATTAGATGTAATCCGAATTTATCGATGAGGCTTATGTTGATTTTTTGATAAAAATTATTGAATCAAGTTCTGACGATGTCTGGTGACATTGGCAACAAATTCTGTAGGCGACAAGACAGAATAAAGAATATGGATCTGTTGACTGCAAGAACGGTCAATTGCTGACATTAATAACCCAACACGCAACACTCAATACTGACTGACGAACCAGGTGTGTTAGTGTTAGTGCAAGTTGAAATATCGAGACAGTGATGCGTAAGACGTTCGGAGTATGTTTCTGTAATGAGGGTATATGAGAATGACAAGAAGTGACGAGGGTAGGAAAAGAAGAAGCAAAGAAATGAATGACAGAAAACTTATCTTTGAAGTGAGCAACATACGATGGGTACGTTCGGAATATGTTTTCTGTAAGGGAATGATTGGAAGAAAGGCCAGGAATTAATAGGCAAGAAAGAGAAGATGGAAAGAAAGAATAATGGGGTACTTATCTTTGAAGTGAACAAACACCGTAGCATGCTCATCTGTTAGATAGAAATGCTAGTTTTCACATGATGAACTTAACAATTAGGTTTCTGCCGTTAGCGCACAATAAAATGCATAGATTAGAAATACCAAGTTACATGGTCACGAAGAGCTTAACTGTTTATTGTTCAAACAGAAAAATAAAGTAAAAAATAAAGGAAAAAGGATATAAAAAAAAAGGGGGAAAAAAAAAAGGAAAAAAAAAAATTTATGAAAGAAATTAGACGTATTCTTGTTCACACGTTGTTCCTGCTTCCATACGCTTGTAAGCAACTAATTAATGTTATATGTGTTATAATTACATTGGACCATGCTTAATATCTCTCAGATAACAAAACCCTTTCATTTCAATCAACAAGGCGTTGGTCGTGACACTCTTCAGTCGACTCAACAGCCCACTATAGGCCTGACATCTAACAATTAATTGTTGTAGTTGCGTGCTGCACAAATTGAAACCGACTTTTTTATAAAGTTATTCCAGACGTTCGACTGCCTGAGTATAATACTTTCCATTTTAAGTTTATAGCTACTAACCTATTTTGTACTAATTTCCACCCAATAGTGGATATCTGATTGCGAGCGTTTTTTTGTTAACGGAGTTGAACGCATTTATAATTTTGCCTTCGGAGAATTGAAACATAAATATTTTATGCTAGTTACAATGCTTTCACTGTTTAGTTTGAATTTTTTGTCTCCATTTGGGACTTTTTGAATGGGTGCTAAACTAAGTATCACAAAGAGCCTTGTTTGTTTCTTTAGATTAGATCGAGCTGATTGCGCAATCTTTAAACCTTCTGACAAACTTGCTAATATTAGAAGGCAATTTTTCACTAAACAAGGCTTCGTTGTCTTTCGCAAGTTTTGAACTTGTTTTAAAGAAATTTACAAAGAGAAAAAGCGGTTGTTAGTCTACAGTGAATATTAATATGTATTGTGCGTAATCAATAAAGTTATTACACATTCTTACCATCTATCATTAACCCCCTTGTTGTCCTGATTTAGGGGGTTTGTTTGTACAAGTGTTACTTTATTGTAGAAGGCGGAAAGCTTTCTATCGGACAAATCATTCATTCAAATTATTACTAAATCAGTTTCGTGTACACGCATCTCATTCAAAACGTATATTGAATGGGCAGTGTTTGGACACATAGTGACAATCCCTTTCTAAAATTACCTAATAAAGTACAACAAAGCACATTCTGACATTAACCAGCATTGATAAAAATAGCCTTTCATTAGAACGGTGAAAATATCTATCCGGTAGAGATATTCCGGTCTTCACTGGTATAAATATTAACACTAACGGTCCGCAAGAAATAAGTTCAATCATATATTAAACCATTTGTAAACTATTTCTTTACAAGCCCAAACCTTTATACTCGTAACGATACTTACAATAATTGCTACAACTTTGTTAGTATGGAATCCAAGTGGTGTTATTATCATCGTATATAGTTAAGTTGATGATAATCTTGGTGATAACAATCATTACAGAGGATTGAACATGTATACAAATATCAAGCAAACTTGTAAATAATAGATGAATTACGTTGGAGTTGTTAGTTTATCTATGTATGGCGTAAAGGCATTTTTAAATTTAGAGCTCATCACAATCAGTACGTTCCGGCAAGAAAAAAAAACAGGTTCTAGTCCGGATTTTAGTTTCTCGATACTCTGGGGATTTTATTAGTCGACAAATTCGAAGAATAAATTTATGGTAAATACGTTGGCGTAACTGCGTAAAGAAATTCGGGAACGACTCCGTCTTATCAAATAATGATAATAAAAACAAGGGCGCAGGAAGTATTATTTTAATTGAATATCCAATTATTTACCAAATAAATGTAAAGGCTTGAGGGACTCAAACTGCGCGTATATAACTTTATTATTCGTATTACTACCATCAAGCAATTTGGGGGTAGGCAGTTTTGGAAGTCATCGGTCTCCATTTCGGATACTTGTTAAGGCTAGAATTTATATGAATCATGTAAATAAAATGGAAGATTAATCTTCAGAAGTTAAAAAGCCCTTATTATTCACACCTTTATTAACCGTCATCAGGGTTTCTTTTGTGTTTGATTAAAGCCCTCAGGCAGATCTGGGAACTGCTTGTCCCCTTTTAGCTATATAATAATAACTGTTCCAGTTTACTAATTGCACTCGGGATCCAAAAAACTGGGGTGTTTACCACATTCGCGCCCAATAATTCTTTCCCATTCAAAAATTTGATCAGATCCAGTATGTGGTTGGTGTTCTCAAAAATCAAAGATTCGACACTTGCCAGTATTTTACTATACTGAACACTAACAAATACCAGTTATGATGTAATTCCATCATGCTTGAGACTGTAATTTACCACAATTGGGGGAAAAAATCTACGAACTCCGGTTTGTGTTTACAGAACCGGTTTACTACCAGCCGCCCTTCAGCCTCATGGTCATACATTACACGAGTAATAAGGATAATATATATAGGGGGGGCTTGTTAGATAAATGAGTGATATGGATTCTTCTGAACTGAACTCTGAGCTTTTCAACAGCCTTATGATAAGATGTAGCTTTGCTGTGTTCACAACGCCCACTCGTAATAATTTAGACGGGTTAGCAACCGAACTTAAAGCTGAAGTTATTCTCCACTTGGGTAATCCTATACCACTTGCTCGATGCTCCCGTGCTTGGTACGCCACCGTAAACTCGCCTGTTACAAAATCCAAGTGGCTAATCAGCAGATATGGTGAAACTCATGCATTGTTTCATGCAGTAAGAATGGGCGATCCATTCATTAATGTTGATGTCGTCGAGTGTCTATTTGCTCAAAAAGCCCACCTCAGCCGATACTTTATTCAAAGATTAATACTTGGATTTGGCAAATATGACAGTAGGCTTATTGGCCTCAAGTTGGCGCACCCGCTCGACCCGGTTCGAAACAAGTCGATCCAAAACAAATTCCGGAACCCGTGGGCAAGCAATCTTTCCTTTGATGTTTTCTCCCGCATTCTCAAAGAGGGCCATGACAGATTTGATGGAAACGACACCCCAGTGCGCGGAAATGACATGGAATTGTTTTATTATCTTTCAGCTGGTCCACTGGTTATTAGCGAAGCAAGAAAAAAGCTGCAGGATAACATAAACGAAATTGAAACCTTGATTTGGAGGTACAAATTTGCGCCACTACCTCCAAGGCCAAATATGCAAATTGGGTTCAAGCCCTATTCACATATAGAGTCATCACGTAATACTAATTTTGATGACTGTCCACCATCTGATGGGTATGAGAACGTGAGACAACTAAATGTCATTGCACGAGCCATACTTTTGTGTCCCGAATTGGTTAATGTCTGGAAGCAAAACGGGTGTCATGAGATAGTGGATGATATAAACG